AGGGCCGCCCCGCCTCACAGACCCGGTCCTGCCGCGCGTCGCTGACTCAGTTGTCCTGGTGAGACCTTTGAGACTGTTGCCAAACCATCCCGCACGGACCGTTTCTTTCACATGTTTCTAACGTGGATGGCGGGCTCCCTATGTCCTGCATCGCTTTACGCGTAATAGGTCATTTTATATTCACGACACCCCGTGGAGGCGGTACTGTCCTTGTCCCCGCGTTGCATTTGAGTAAGTTGAGGAATAGAGAGGTTACTCGACTGGACGGAAGTCAGACTGAGGGAGGTGGGTGTAAACCCGGGAGCCTGGCTTCAGAAGTGCAATAGAAAACAATGTTAAATTCACGTATTAACTGTTGTGCGTTCTTGAACCTTAATGCTATTTCAATTAAAAAGAAAAGCAGGAGATAGTAAAGACATATGAGGAAAGAAGGCCTTATTTTAATCCAAAGAATTGAAACGATAATAGGTTTAACGGTCTCTACCCCCTAAAGACATTTTCATGTTATCCACAGGTGCCGCACTTTGTAAAACATCCAGAACATTAGCATTTCAATTGATAGCGTGTGCGATAGGCCAAAGTCTTGTGCTGCGTAGCATACGTGCCTTATGTTATTTAATCTTCAGAAGGATTCTGAAGAAGGAATTGTTGGCATACCGTTGGGGAACCTGAGGCCCACAGAGGTTAAGTGACTTGCCAGAGATCTCACGGTTAGTAAGTGTTGGAGCTGAGATTCAGAAAGTTTCATAAAAATGTGACCCCTCCTGGGTAGGTTTTCTCAGCGGATTAAATAAAGTCATTATACTGTGGTAAGTGGTTATAAAATTCATTGGCCCATGAGTTCATTAGTCCAGTGTCAAAAGACACTGGGCTGATATCTGGGCTACAATAGTTTGAGAAAAACACATAACCTCCTTTTCCTGGAGCTGGCATTCTGGTGAGTGCCATGGAAGAAGAAAAAGTGACGTGATAGAGGGACTTTTAGTGTTAATTTAAAAAAGGTGGTTTGGGATGGTTCTTGTCAGATGATAGTGCTCAGGCTTGAAAGTTGAGTAAAACCTGTTGTATGAAAAATTGGAAGTAGAATATTCTAGAAAGAGGGAATAGCAACTCTAAAGACCCTGAAATGAGAACAAGAGTTGTCAGTTTACCAAGTGGGAACAACAGAGGTAAGAGGGTTAAGATGTGTTCGTCCAAAGTTCATTAGAATTTCGTCTCAGAATATGACTGTATTTGGAAATAGGGCCTTTAAAGTGGTGATAAGTTAAAATGAGACCTTTATGGTAGGTCCTAATTCAGTTTGACTGGTGTCTTTATATGAAGAGGAAATTTGGACACACAGGGAGACACCAGGAATGCACATGCACGGAGGAATGGCCATGTGAGGACACAAGAAGAAGGCAGCCTTCTGAAAGCCAAGGAGAGGCCTCAGGAGAAATTAAACCTGCCTATACCTTGATCTTGAACTTCCAGCCTCCAGAACTGTGAAAAAAATAAAGTTTTGTTGTTTAAGCTACCCAGTCTGTACCATTTTGTTATGGAAGCCCTAGTAAACCAATATACCACATAATTTGCTATAGATTGTAATTGGAATGAAAGCCCTATCAGAAAAGTATGGAGTTCATAAGAGGGCATAGCAAATGTACCTAAATCCTTTTGGCCTGGAAAAGGGAAGGACATCTAAGTTGTGACCTGAAAGGGAAGGAGTTAGGCTGGGGAAAGGCCTTTTAATCATTTAGTTCTGGGCTACCATCACTCCATGCATCCACGGAACTCTTCATCTTGTAAAATGGAAACTGCACCAATTAAACAATAATTCTCCATCCCCTCCTCCACTACAACCACTACTCTAGTTTCTCTATGATTTGACTTCTGTTTAGGATTTGGAAAGAAGTTCGGTGGGATCAGAGGTGAAGTGACTCAGTCTGACAACTGCTTCCAGGAAACAGCTGACTTTGAACTAGATTTTGAAGGATAAGCTCCTGTCTTGTCAATGTAAGAGGAAAATAATTCCTGACAGAAATAAGAGTATGTACCAGCTAAGGATGCTAGAAGCTTCACATTTTCTCTACGGACCTCTGTTGTTACCAGTCTACTTACACAATGGATTCTGAATTGCTTTCTGGAAGCATAGACTTCATTATGTATTCTTCTACTCCAAAATGTACAATAACTTATTATCTGAGGTATGAAGGTCAGATTCTTCAATCTGCCACTCAAAAGTCTACATTTTTATTTGACAGTGGAACTATTTATAATTAAAGCTAATCTTCAAAATCTCTTCCCACCCATCTAAATATAATAAATGAGAAGTTATTTTTAACTGTAAATTAAACTCCCTGGCAGGGAAGATAACTCAGATCTCTATATCACTAAATTTTAGGATACAAAGGATAGATCTCAAACTCAATAATGTGTTAACCTGTTTTAGTTACACAGGCAAGGAAACATTATTTTGGGGGAGAGATATTTCTATAGGTCTTCACATAATTTTGAACCTTTTCATAATGGAATTTGTTAGAAGTGTGAAAACCTCTAATTCCTTCCAAATACTAGATCTATCAAGAAAAGGGCTCCTGAGTCTCTTCACTCTTACTAGTATAGCCAATTATACGGGGTAGAGCAAAAGTAGATTTACAATTGTGAGTTGCAAAAGTTTACTCTTGTATTATTATTAGTTAATTATATTTTCCCCACTATATGCACCTGATTACAGTAGTCATATGTTGCTACCAAGCACTTGAAATGTGGCCAATGTAACTGAGGAACTGAATGTTTAATTTTAGTTAAATTTAAAACCTTAGCAATGTAAAATATTTTCCTCTTATATACATTTTATTATTTTGGAAGGACTACATTTTACTTAAAACTGAAAATTTAGCGTTTGAGTTGAGAAGGGCTATAAGTGTAAAATACATATCACATTTCAAAGATTTGGAACAAAAATAAAATTAAAAATATATATTTTTAAAATATATTTTTATTGATTTCAGAGAGGAAGGGAGGAAAGGAGGGAGGGAGAGAGAGAGAAAGAAAGAGAGAGAGAGAAACATTAATGATGAGAGAGAATCATTGATTGGCTGCACACCCCCTATTAGGGATTGGGCCCACAACCCAGGGCATGTGCCCTTGATCGGAATCAAACGCTGGACCCTTCAGTCCCTAGGCTGACACTGTATCCACTGAGCCAAAACGGCTAGGGTGAAGTAAAATATCTTAATTTTTTTATATTGAGTACATGTTATAGTTTGTGTGTATTGGCTTAAATGAAACCTAGCATTAAAATTAATTCCACCAGCATGGCCAGCATGGCTCAGTGGTTGAGCATTGACCTATGGAACTGGAGGTCACGGTTTCATTCCTGGTCTGGATATGCCCTGGTTGCAGGCTCTATCTCCAGTGTGAGGCGTGTAGGAGGCAGCCAGTCAATGATTCTCTTTCATCATTGATGTTTTATTTCTCTCTCCCTTCCTCCCTGAAATCAATAAAAATATATTTAAAAAATTAATCCTATCAGTTTGTTTTTTAATGAGGCTGCTAGAAAATTTAAAATTACATATCTGTCTTGCATTTCCCTCCCTTCGTCCCTCCTTCCCCTACCATCTGTATAAGTTTCTGTTATTTTGTTTGTTTGGCAAATACCAGAAATTGATAAAGAATTATTAAACATAATAGAGATTTATTAGAAGGATGCTGGGTAGTTTATGGAAGTAATGCTGGTCTGAGAATAAAGCCAAGTTAATAGGACAGAAACTAGAGTAGCCCAGGAATCTAGGAAGCAGGAATTTAGTGCCACTGCAAGAATGAAGAACAACTGATTTCTCTGTTTTGGGGACATTCTACTCAAGTTTTCAAAATCTAGAGGAGCGTCTCATAGAGCGTTAGTTAAGAGAGGACAAGATCTGATTTATAGTCCCTGTAGGAGTATACAAAATAAGAGAAGGTAATTTTTTAAAGAGAAATTGGCTATAAGAAGTAATCCTTATAGCCCAAACAGCAATGCCAAGGACAAATATCTAAGGCAGGAAAGTAGAACATTATGTTGACATAGCCCTGAAGGACAAATGGTAGAATGTCAGTTGAAAAACTCATATCCAACATCCAGTCTACCCTTTCTCATAAAAATGTTCTCCCTCCTCCTGATCCCTATTTCATTTTTTTTAAAAAAATATTTTTAGTGATTTCAAAGAGGAAGGCAGAGGGAGAGAGAAATAGAAACACCAATGATGAGAGGGAATCATTGATCAGCTGCCTTCTGCACGCCCCACACTGGGGATTGAACCCACAACCTGGGCATGAGCCCTGACTGGCTCAACCACTGAGCCATGCTGGTCAGGCTCCCCTATTTTCATTTAATAAACAAGTATTTATTGGTTGCCTGTTATGTGTAAATTGAGACTCTAGGTCAATTAGCTTAAAAATCTAGTGTAATACATCCCTTCTGCTCATACCTTTAGTTACTTATCAACTATTTGTTTGTGGTTATCTTGTGGCTATCTTAAATTGAGCATTAGTGCTGGGAAGTGGCCTTTATAGAACATCCAGGTAATTCCTGAACATCAGTCAGTGGCCATGACCAGAGGAAATTAGAACACTTAAAAAAAATTTCTGATTTCTGGATGATTTTGAGGGTCAGCCACAATTAGAAAACTACTGAGCTAGATGAATCTCCTAATTATATAGTATACCAAATTACATCAACTCAGAA